TGTTTAATGGATATTATTCTTGCTGAAAGAGGTTGAAGATGCTGGATGGTGGATGAGGAGAGATTTTATAAGAAGTACTCATAATTGTCCATTAAAATTGAGCTGAATATGAATAGAAACAGTAGTTGCTCTTTAGGCTTTGAATTTTATGGGAGAATTTTTTTTTCAAATAAATTTAAAATGACATTTTATTGCAAAGAAGAGTGCTGTTTGGTCTGTTTAGATTAAGGTGATTCCAGAGTGAAAGAGAATCTGTTTACAAAAGACCAAACTGACTTCCCTTATCCAGATTGTTACGGATATGAATTGAAGGGGAGAAGAATGTTATCAGTGCCATGCTGGTCTTTTGAAAGAGAATTTCTTTCTTTCTTTTTTTAAAGATGATATAGGGTTTGGTTGAAGAGCATGAATAGTATAGTCTGTTGCTTTTTACTAGCTGATACTGGTTAGATCACCTTTTAAGAAAGAAATTTATGGTCTTATTTTACTTCCTAGTTGCCACATAGCTGCATCTTGTAGTCATGCCATTGCAGGTGTTGACCTTGGTAGGTAATGAGACTGAACTCCAGGATGGGGGTTTGATGCATGTGTTTTGGGAAGGTTCTCTCTTGCACTTGCGCACTTGCACTCTGTCAAACACTGCATATGTATCATTGTCACTATGACCTTCTGCCTGCTTGCAAAAAGTGAACCGTGAAACACAAATTCCAGTTGTACCCTGTATTGTTTATATGTGATGTAAAAGTCTCACAATATCTATAGATTTCTAGAAGGAAGGTTTTGTTAGTGGTATCTTTTGCCGGACCAACTGTATAGTTGGGATAGTTGGTCAGATATTCCAGCAAGGTCAGAACATCCTGATGGAGTTGGTGGCTTACCTTTTTGATAGTGTCATGGTGACTGTCAACAGCAGGAGCAAGGATTCTTCCCCATCACTTGGCCCTGGTGTAACTCTCCCTTCCAGTTAGGGTCAGGCAACCCCTGCCCTACTCCTTTTAACTTCTGCAGTTTCCTGCTCCTTCCTTCCACCCGAATCTAGGGGGTGGATGCTCCTGGAGCTGGTTCTGGTGCCCCCTACTGGCTTTTTGCTGCAATTGCAAGCAGCTCCTGCAGCACAGGAGGGGGGGGTATGGGCAGGGGGCAGGGAGCCCTTAGCTGGCATAGATCTCACCTGCAAAAACCTATTGCACTTACTGCAGGGAGGATGGGGTTGTGTGCCCCCTCCCCTTGCACATGGGCCATGAATCTGCTAAGGTCCTGAGAGGAAGTGGGCAGAGTGCTTAGTAAAAGTGTTTGTGCGTTTGTTTTTGGACTCTTTTGCAACAACAGAGTTCCGGAATTAGTGGGCAGCTGAAATACACAAGTTACTTCATAATTTGGTGAATTCCAGCACAAGTGAAACATTAATAAACTATGGAGAGTTAGTGAAAGGCAAAATCATGTGTTTTTTAAGTAAAAAAAAAAAAAAAAGGTGGACAGGGAACAGCT